ATTATTATTATTATTATTATTATTATTATTATTATTATTATTATTATTATTATTATTATTATTATTATTTATTATTACTATTATTACTATTATTACTATTATTACTATTACTATTACTATTATTACCATTATTGCTATTACTATTATTACTATTATTACTATCATTACTATTATTACTATTATAAATATCAAAATTATTAACGTTATCAATTTTTTTTTTTTTTTTTTTTTGATGATATAGAATTAAAGGAATTAATTAATTATCATGGGTCTTCTACTAAACATGGGGGTGATCTTGTTACGGATAGTGTGACAATTATTCGTGGAGCACTTGATCTTCAGGATAAAGCAGTCCATATTGCGATGACACCAATTGATAAGGTAACATTTACCATTTGAGTGCATGAGAGTGAAAACCTGTAACCAATCATAGTAAATCATTAAATGTGTTTCCAGGTTTTCACTTTTACGCACTCATTTTTATTATACATTTTTTTAGATTTGTAAATATAATATATATTTCTTCCCTTGATTAGGTATACATGTTACCTATTGATACTATCATGGATAGAATAACCATGCGAGAGATTTATTCAACAGGTCACTCAAGAATTCCCATATATGGAGGATCACGTAAAAATATTATTGGCGTTTTATTGACCAAGGTAAAAAAAATGAAAGTAATTCGTTAACGATCATTAATTACGATTACTTATAATATTATATTTTAAAAGTCCTTAATAATGTATAGTCCAGATGAAGCACGTGCATTAAAAACCTTTCCTATAAATACGATTCCTACAGTCTCAGCTGAGACCCCATTATTTGACATTTTAAATACATTTCAAGAAGGTAGAAGTCATATGGCTATTGTCATTGAAAAAGAGGAAAATATGCCTATCGGCATCATAACATTGGAAGATGTCCTTGAAGAATTGATCCAAGAAGAAATTTATGATGAATCAGATACACGAATTGGTTTAGCAGTTAAATTAGATACCGGAGATCAATTGATTTTAGCATCCAAAAAAAGACGTGGAGAAAGCAGGAATCAGGTATATCACAAAAATAAATTCAAGAGTCCAAAATCAAGAGCTGGATCAGGACAAGGAACTCCGTCTAAATTTGAAATTGAGAGTAATCGCGCAGGAGATTTAATGATATTTGATGAACCTAGTATGGTTCCTACGGGTGCATCATATTGATGGTACCAGTAAGTCATTATATTCAATGATTTGTTAAATATGAATGTTAAATAATTTTATTAACAAAATAATTTTGTTAACGAAAAATTAGCTTAAACAAAGATCTGGAAGATCTGGAATATTTTTCAATGTCATTGTGTATATTAGCTGTACAAAAATAAATCGGTACTTGTTTATGAGAAAAACCCGAAATGTCGATTTCCTACTGTAATATTTTTTGTGTATAAATGAAATGAATTTAGTAAGGTTTAATGATTTTTTATTTAGTGGTTAGATTATGAAATTAGAACAATGTATAAATAGGTAGCCTTTTTTTTTTTTTTTTTTTTTTTTAGGCGTATAAAAACATTAATTTTTTAGCTTGATACGAATTAAATGTTTTTATGTCTTTTATTATGATTCACACATTTATATTTACATAAATTATTACTGTAACACGCTACCAAAAATTTCTTTGGAAAAAAAATAAAAGTTTTTTTTTAGTTTTTTGAATTAAGTATATAAAAATGTCAAAGTAGTGATAATTTTGGTGTCCACCAATATATTCAACCTTTTACCCTTTTTTTTTTTTACCCCATTTAAGACTAAGACCCCGTTTAAGATTAAGATGATAATTAATTTTTTTGAGATGATGGCCAATAACCCGGTAACTTTTCAAGAGATACGGGTAATTGTTTACGATATGGTAAAACTTTTGCTTTAGTGTAAACTTTTAATTTTTGTTGATTACGCAATTTTCTACCAATTATCGGAAAATAACAAATATCAATAGTAAGATCATCGAATTTAGTATCCCAAATACTTTTCATCGTCTCAGAGTCAAATTTAGCACCACAATCTATCCATTGATATTGAGAAACAGGTTCTTGAGCTTGCATTCTAAAATAAAAAACGTTTATAACACTATATACAACTTCAGAAGCAGTGTCGTTAATTTTTTTTAACATTTCAGAAGATTTAATATTACAAAAAGTATCCATAATATTAATAACTTTTTCCGAGACGAATTCGATAAAAGGATGATCGAAACCATCATAATCTTTAGAACCAAGAACAGCGTAAACTTCAGGATTTAATCTTTGAGGAGGATTTCTTTTTAAAAAACTATCACGTTTTGATTGTTTTAAAGTGTTTTGTAAAGTTCCATTAAAATAAATATCCGAATGTTCTAAAATAGAATCAATTATATGACGTTGTAAAAGGCCACATAAGAATTGTTTTGACCAATCATGAAGATCAAGTTGAGTTCTACAATCATATTTACGTAAAAGATCTTTAGAATTATTTAAATTAATATCAATATCAATTAATTTAGTAAAATTCGCGAGTATATCTTGACAACGTTCTATATCAGTTACAAGTTGAAAAATATTGTTAAAATTAGCTTTTTCCAAAAAATGAATTTGAATAGCTTGAGCTTCAAAAATTTGTTGAGAATTTTGTTCAGGTTGAAAAAGAGGTTGATTTTGGTAAAGACTAGGGACTTCTTGTAAAGCTTCTTGTAAAGCTATATTAACTTCTTCATTATAAGTCATAATAACAGTGAGAAGATTTTCATCTAAAGATTCATAATTATCTAATATAGAAGTAATATGTTGCCTAACTACAGCTAGTTGATTTTGAACGGCTTGCATCATCATTTCAGAAGTTTCATTATATTCATCATAATTTCGAGAATCAGAAATAGAATCATCATCATATCTTTTTTCTTGAATTCTACTAAGGTCATGTAATCTAGCACGAAATTTTTCTATTTCGGACATAACACTATTAATTTCCATATATATTGGACTATCTTCTTTTGTACTTGCCAGGATGGCAACGTTTTCTTCTTGTTGTTTTTGGATGGACTTCAAACTTGATCTCTTTGATTTATACAAAGATTTTGAATGTTGTTGTATTTGAGTAGTAGTAGCTGACATAGTTGTTGTCATAATAGATGTAATAGATGATAAAGGTGAATAACTCGACATAGTTTAGTCGTAATTATTAATCGTAGTGAATAATAATAATAATAAGGAATTAATAAAGGGAATAATTAAAGTTTTTTTTTTTTGTGGTTTATAATAAATTTTTTTTATAATAAATTCTTTTGTGTTCAATTTATTATATAATTTACACATTTATACATTTATACAAATATTTTTTTATCTGCATCCTATCAAAAGAATGCTCGTACTGGTACTCATAAAATATGCAAATAAACGCTTAATTAATCGATTTGTGGAGACACCAATATAATTTCATATTCTCACCCGCGAATCGTTATGTGTAGTATAGTTTCGTACGTTACGTTACGTTACGTTACGGATGTACGTAACGTATGTGCTGAATCTGGAATTGTGGGGATCACTGACAATGATTTTTATTATTAAACATTACGAAAGATCTACTAGTAATAATATGGCAATAATAATGGGTACGATAAATAATGGATAAACGATAATGTTTTTTTTTTGATACATTTTTTTTTTTTTTTTTTTTTTTTTTTGTTGGATAAATAATAACTATAAAAGTTTATGATATTTTAGTATATCAAGTCAATTTGGTAAAAAATTTCACCACGTTACCCTTTTGACCAAATTTAATTTGTTGTATGACTTATAAAGGCAGCTCTTAACTATATATTTTGTTTATACTATTTTATTTTAAAAAATTTTGATTGGTTTTTGCCTCAATCGTTAGATTAGCGTTATATTAGCGTTAGATTAGCGTTATTACGTTATTATCGTTAAATTAACTTTAATAAATTAGCGTTAAAAAAAAAGAAAGTTGTATTCATAAGAAGGGTTATTGATATTAACAGGGAGAGCTGGCGTTTGAGGATTACACAAAAGCAGTTAAGGATTTTGGTGCTTGTTATCAACATGGAATCAAAAAGGATGAGCATAAAACGTTTGAATGATAAAATAGATTACAAGGAGGTTTTATGAACAAATGGTAATATATCTTCTATTATGGATTTCAAAAATAAAGGCGGATTTTCAAGGGATGTATGTATTGATTGGTTTCATTACATTTTTGTGGAATCCCTTAAAGCGTTACATGAATTAACGTTAAATAATGAATTTATGATATAATTGGATATGAAAATCCTTCGTTTTTTTCAATTGTTATAGGGCGTATCAAGAGACTCTTTACAAAGTCAACCTTTGAAATATATCTTAATTAACTTTGAAGTAATTCATTCTAAAAAGTTATACGCATGTACGTATTAAATTTCTGCATTATCATTATTCGGCAAAAATTTTTGAATAATCATCACCATGAGTAAACCAATGTCAAAACATATATACATAATAGTAGCGTGAGAAACTCACGTACGTTCGTACAATTTGGTAAATAACTTTTGACTATGTACGTACGTAAAATTTGTTAATTATTCACGTCGCATCTTAACATTAACAGTTAACATTAATAATAAATTACTGCTACAGTTAACATTAATAATAAATCACTGGTCATGCGACAAAAACCACCCGAGTATCTATTATACCATCCTAGTCAATTGCAACTGCTGCAATGTCTCACATGACCAGTAATTTTGGTGGCCGATTCTTAACGTTAATGTTAATGAAGAGCTACACAATGACATATGAATATGGTAAAAGAACGTCTACGTACAGTCTTTATACCTTTAAATGCATGTTCATTTAAGTCATTTAAGGTCATGATCTGAATGAACATGTTTCTAGTATTACATACGTCAATTAAATGACTTGAAGAATGAGAAATGCAAGTTTTTCGAGTCACAAGTTTGTACTTGCTAAGAAAGTACTACTCTGAGGCATGCGAATCGACCGTAATTGACGTCAAATTACTGAATTGCATTATAGTGCAGTAATGCTGCATTCATTATATTACGGTATTGCCGCATTTAGAATCAACAATTAATGCTGCAATTAATGTGGCAATGGGGAATCTTGTAAATTAATTTGATCTCACTGTAAAGATGTAAAGATGTACCTCGCGTGTGATGATGCTCCTATGATTTTGCGGGATAAATGCTTCACTTAAAAAAATTTTAATATCAGTATAATTTGTTGTAATAAATTCATAAGAATCGCGCGAAATAGTTTCCTACCTTGGTTTAATGGCTCAGAGTTTTTTTATCATTATATTTACTTATCATGTTTATACTATTATATCATGTTTTTATGAAAATTTCTAATATTAAGAAAAAGATTTCATTACTAGAACTATTTTGAGTATCTAGCAGACTTATAATAGTATTGTAAGGATCAATAGCCATTTCTTCTGGTCATCAAGAACGCAATTATACCTTCCCCATACAACTGTTTTGATGCCGTATGATAATGTCCATCCATACACCTTTCGAAATCTTCATATTAATAATAATTAAGTGTACTGTACATGTTTGCTTTAAATACGTACACTACAACTTATACATCTTGAGTAGTTTCATCAAAACATCGTCTATAGGTTCACGAAAAGAGTTAGTCTTATTTTGTGACCGAATCTATTGAAATAAAAAAAAAAATTATGTAAATAAATATAAAAAAATTATGTAAATAATATATATAAAAATTATTGTAAATGAATTTTACTGTGGATTTATGAGCTCGAAAGCTCCTTTTACATTAAACATCCCTTCTCATCGTAAATAATAAAAGTTGT